TATATATATATATATATATGTAAAAATAAAAATCAGACTTTAATGTCACTTTAAGATCCACGTGTAGAAAGATTGAAAGTGACAGATCTGAGAGTCCAAAATTCCTGCTTCTGAAACATGTTGTCTGTTCTACATTTTCTTGTTGTAAGCAAACACTATTATGGTAAGATTTTAGACTCTTAGCCCTCGTTCACACCTGAACGTTTTGTAGAGCGTTCTACGCTCGACGAACGCTCTACAAAACGTTTAAAAATATAAATCCCATTGTAGTCAATGGTCTCATTCCCACCTTGGCGTATTTCCGCCTGTACCTAACGCGCTACAAAACGGCCCACGCCTGAAAAGGTACATGTACTACTTTGGGCCGTTTTGTTGCGCGTTTCCATTGGCATACAGCCAAGTAGCCTTCGTAAACGCGTGACGGTCGTGCGACTTTTTTACCGCGAATCGCGGTAAAAAAACGCGCTATGGTCGCACATATGCAATACGCCTAGGTGTGAACGAGACCTTAGATATTTAGTCTGGTGCTCTCATTAGACGTTTTACATTTGGAGCAATAACGTCTCACCCGATCTTTGATCCTGCGGCGGTGGTATCTCCCTCGACGTACTCATGCCTAATGTATGTGAATGACCTGAAATGATGAAATCAGCTGGGCTGCTAGAGCCCAGTGGAAAAGAAGCTGTGTGGACCAGTCCAGAAGCCAGGTGGGAATGAGGATCAGATGAGTTTTAGTTTTTTTGTAAATTTATTATTTAAACAAAACAGACAAAGTTGTACACACAAACAATGGTAGGTGCAAAATAATGGATCAAGGACCATTAAAACCCAGAGTTTGCTGCAAGGAAGCACAGGAAGTGGTGGAAACACAGCCAATGTGGCATCACTTTTTACAAGGTAAAGTCGTTAAGAGAACCTGAGTCAGACACTCATATATAAAAGTGCAACTCTAGCTAAAAAAAACAGTGTAACCTTATTTTTTTATATAACATATATAACACCCACAAAGCATCCTACAGGATTATGATAAAGTGAAAAAGTGAGAGAAATTGGAAAAGAAGGAGAGAAGGGAAAAAAAGGGAACAGGATGTGGAGGATAAGAAAGAGTAGAAAGGGGAGAAGAGAAAAACCAGGAAAGAAGGCAGGGGGACCCACTCAGACCTATTCGTCTGGACTAGAGACTGTTCCCTGGCATGACATCAGGGAGTCATATTCCTGAGAAGAGATAAAACATGTCCAATAAAACCAGGTGCTATGAAAATGTTCTTCTCTATGATAAAGAGAATCTGTGAGGTCTTCCATTTCATATATTTCAGAACCTTTTGATAACCACAGTTGAATGGAAGGGGGAGTATCCTGTCTCTATAGTAACAGTATAGCAAGAGTTAAAAATTCTGGAGTTTCTCTTTAATCATTCCACATTTTAGCCAAAGTTGTCAAAAAGGTTTGGTTGGAGTTGGGCTTTAGGGCTTGTTTCCACCAGCCCGCACATCTACCGCACTGTTCCGTGCCCGGAACGCAAGGTATCGCATACATAAAGTCGCATTGAAGTCAATGACACTGCAGACACACCCCCCACCCGCATTACAATCGGCTACATAGGAACACGTGGTAATGCCCTGCGTTTTAGTGCGGCTGATCGTACTGTGGGCATGGGGTGTGTCTGCAGTGCCATTGACTTGAAAGGCACTGCTAGGCCGCCTCCCACCACAGAAGTCAGGGAGACTTTATGTATGCAATCCCTTGCATTCCAGGCAGGTAACAGTGCGATTGATGTGCAGGCTGGTGAAGGCAAGCCCTGAAGCAGGAGATTCCCAGGATATTATTAGGTGCATACTATTATCAAACATATATACCATTTCAGTGATGCAATCTGCATGAGATAATTTATATCATCTTGCTGATCTCGCTCTTCACTTATGTTAGCTGTTGGCAATAGCCGTGTGCAGTGAAAGTAAAGGTCACATGACACAACACTTTCATACATGAAATTTCCTATGGGTTGAGAATACAGGACCCTCGAGAACGAATATGTCTGATTACGGCTTAGCATTCAAAATGGTAACCTTCTCTTTGTATGGGCGACAGGTATATTTTTAAAGAGTAAACCTGCAATGAGTATTATACCTTCAGTGAACAGCTCTATTTGTTTGTTCAGTAAATCTCAACTTGCCTGTGCCCATGTAATACATTTCAAAAGCTTTTAAGCTCAGACTATTCAGGTGATAAGTGGAAAATCCTGTTCAGAAGCATTTTCTCTTTCAATGTATTCAGCTTTTAGTATGCCCAATGCGCTGGGTAGACTCTATCTCTCTAATTTAAATTAATATTTCACATTAATTTAATGCTAGAAGACTTCAGGGCTTTTACCATAATGGTAGCATGCAATTTGATCAGTTTATAAGTAAAGCAATTCAGGTGGTGGCTAATAGAGAGGACATCGGAAAAAAAGATGTAATTTGTACAATTTATACTTTCAAGGACACACACGTTCGTTCACAAGTTGCAATGTACACATACTTATCCAGGCTCTGTTCAGGCAGATGGAAAAATACATACAAATGTTAAAGTTTTGTACTGCTTATCCTAGAGAAAAGTTTATCTGGTGCTAGGCTGAGCAAACCGGCTGTTTTCTGTTATCCCATCATGGACTAGCAGTCTTCCGATGGAATCTGAGGGCACTAACCAGTCAACAGGGAGGTAAAATATGTCCGGTGAGTTCTTTATCTTCCTCATATTAGTTTTCAATACAGGAGGGTTAGGAGGGCCCTGCTCGTAAGAGGTTACAATCTAGTAGAAGGGCCAAGTGATATAAAAGGTGAATATTGGCTATATGTGAGAAACACTGAACAAAGACATTGCATTATATTAATATTACAAAAAATAAAATCATTAATAACCTAGTGTGTTATTAAAAAGATTGATACACAATGCATTGAATGCAAATCCATGTTATAAGTATTCTAAAGGAAAAAACGGCAATAGAAATTCATCATGCGATCTGATTCAGCGACACAAATTGATGAACTGCAAAATACTTTAAGTAAAAGTTTTAATGAAAAACAAAACTACTAAAGACTATTATGTAAACACATATTTCATCATCCCCAAAAGTCAGTTGTATATCACACAGTTATTAGTTTGAAAATGTAAATTCACACATTGTTTGTTGAAACACCAAAATGTTTAGTGCCAGGGTAAAGAAATGAGAAAAAACAGATAGTGGACCTCCAATGGTAATACAGAGATAGAACAAGGGTTGGGGAGGCAGGGTTTACTGGGGGTGCGTGGGTGGCATTATGGTAATTCTTAATTATTCAGTTTCTTTTCTTTTACTTTCTTCCCTTTTTGTAATTTTGGATTATAGTGTAGCAACCAGCTATTTTTTATAATGGTGGATTATTTGCTGCTTTGCTAATTCTGATGCAAACTTATTTTTGAGAAATAATGAAAATGACTGAATAAGACAAAAGAAAAAAGAAAGAAAATTTATATTCTGTGATTTTACAATGTGCAATAAATGTTAGAGAACAACAAAACTCCCCTGGACAAAATTAATTATAAATCCATTTTTGCTTCTTTTTTTGTAACAAATAACATACAAAATGGGTTACACAAAGAAGGCATTGAACATTTAAAGTATGCAAAAGCATGCACAGTTTATAAAATGTGTGCATTGAGAAAGAGAATTTCTATTTCTGTGCAGCCCAAATGGAATCCAAATAGATGGCGGGCATACATTCTTAAAGACATGCAGATGTTTCCTGATGAGTGCCAGCACTTTATCATGACACATGCACAGTAACAGGCTCTCTCCTTGTTATATGGACCAATAACAGCTTTGCTGTTTTCAGAAGGTTATGATTGCTTTACAAATCGTTTCAATGGCACCACACGTTTCGATGGCCAACAGAGTGACTGTGAATTGCAGATGTACACAAATGTATTTCATAAAGCAATCTTGTATCAGTAGAAATTATGTAGGATACCATTTACTGCTGAAAATGATAGTTTTCTGCCAGTGGTTCAACACTTTCTGAGTCAAAGGGGGTGATTTACTAACCTAAACACACGCACGCACCAGGTGTGTGTGATTTTCACACAGCAAAACGTATTTATCAACCAAAAAGTCTCTAAAAGCATATATCCACTAATGCCATATATGGAAAAATCATGCACATGATGCATATATAATGCTGCTTCACAGTTTAGACAAAAATGGTTAGCTCATGCATTTACATTCCTGCATTCATCAACTTAATCAACACAACATAGAGCTAATTTACACAACATCACCTTGTAATTCATGCAGGGCTTTGCACAACACACCTGCTGGGTGTGTACACACTACAAAGGTGTTTAGATTCCACCCATAGATCATGCTGGGAGGGAACACACTACAGAGGTGTATACATGTTCGTGGTGTGTTTATAAGGTTAGTAAATCAACTCCAAAGACTGAGAACAGGTATGCAGCAAAAGTCTGAACTTGCACTCACCCTAGGTGTTCTGGGTCAAGCACATATATGATTGAAGTCAGTAGGCCTACGTGACTGGATTCTAGCCAGACAACTAGTATTTTCAGTAGGTCAGCAATGACAGTCTACATATTTCACTCGGTACAGGTTTCCTTTAATTTTAAAGGGGTACGGAGTAAGTATGTTCCTATGTTTCTCTGAGGTTTCTCCATGTACTTGTTTCCTCCCACAATCCAAAAATATACTAATGGGTCTATTATCTTCCACTCAATTGGCCCCAGTTGTGTGTATTAATGACGAAAATTAATGTTACAAATGCCATTTCTTCTGTGTAGGTAAGGCCTACCCCCCGGAATTCTACTATGACACCTACAATCCATTATGGCAGAGCAAAGCCAGCATCTACTCATACAGTTTACAGTGGACACAGATGAATCCAGAGGCTGTGGACCGAATAGTGGCTTACCGTTTGGGACTTAAACAGGTGATTACCTAATGCTAAGTAATACAATTGCCATTAGTTACTGACTTTTGTTCTACTTTTTTTTACCAAATAACTACAACTTTAATAAAAAAAAACCTATGCACTCATTCATAGGCTGGCCACACAAATAAGATAACCTGTGGTTTTGTTTGTTCATTTAGAAATATTTGTGCAAATTTGTGGAAGAGACCAGTGTAGCAGTATAAATCAAAGGAATGAAAGTGGTAGGAGTTAAGGTTAATTGTAACAAATGAAAAAAGTACATTGGTTGTCATATTTACAAGGAGAATGTAACCATCAATTTAGATATTATAACATTTGTACTCTGTGCCTGCTTTTACCTTTTTCTTTGACTTTAAGGTCCAGCTTGTACACTTAAATGGTTTACTCAGACCAAAAGGCAGGACTGATGTCTTTAATGTAGAAGTGCAAATTAATTATCTTATTAGGCAAATGTTGGAAAAGTTTGTAAAAAAGGTTCAATGATGCACAACAAAACTGGTGATTTCTAGTTTTGATAATAATATGCTCAATATAGTTATATGTCATTGTGTTATAAATTATCAATTAGCATGTTCATCACTTTTACATATGTCCATGTGAAATTTTAATTCTTAGCGTGCTTCTGTGGTATCCTTTAGTTTCTGAGGGCAGCTTTACCTTGTACAAGGTCACTGCTGGCGTTGTCTTTTACTGGCCTAGAAATAAAACTCTGTTTCAGTCTGGGCAGCAATTAAAATAAAAGTTATAGGACAGAGCCGCAAAGTCCCCAGAGAGTTGTAAACGCTTACAACTTTCTTAATAAAATCATGAAACAGCTCAATGGATTTCATGTGTTAACTGGAGACTTCCTCCACAATGTAATTCATATTGGAAAGATAACTTCTTTTTCCTGATCTTTAATTTCATGAGAAAATAAAGCCTGTTAAATCTATAATTTGGCAGTCTGCTACATGAGACAAGATCAAGTGTTATGGAGACCCGCAGAAGTCTCATTAAATAACCTCATCAACACCCCAAATCCTGTGCAGATAGTGTCATTCTCAAAGTAGAAGAGCAGCCACAAGAAATCAAATGAGAACTGCCCCAGCCACTGAACCTTCTCATACACTTCCATAAAGGGTTTCAACAGCAGTACCCTGGTGTTGCTGGCTGATACAAATCACGGGATTTCGGCATCAGCATTGGACCATTGGGTTCCCTAAAAAAATACCCATGCCAAAAGTATTGGTAGGTAAACAAAATCTGTCAGGTGCCTGGGCTATATAAATTGTATGTATGATGAAAGAATACATGAGCAGATGGGGACATTAGGTGAAAATTGCATGCCAAAATTCTCATGAGATTCAGAGTGTTTTTTTCCAAGTCTCAACTTTTCACATGACAGTTCTACTTGGACCCTCTCTCCTTGCAAGCTACCCTGTTGGCCAGAAAAGCTTCCCATCAGTTCTACTTGGACCCTCTCTCTTTGCAAGCTACCCTGTTGGCCAGAAAAGCTTCCCATCAGTTCTACTTGGAAGCCTCTCTCCTTGCAAACTACCCTGTTGGCCAGAAAAGCTTCCTATCGGTTCTACTTGGGCCCTCTCTCCTTGAAAGGTACCCTGTTGGCCAGAAAAGCTTCCTATCAGTTCTACTTGGGCCCTGTCTTTTTGCAAGCTACCCTGTTGGCCAGAAAAGCTTCCCATCAGATTAAAGAAGCAATACGGGGGAGTGGCGGGGCAAGGCCAAGCTGAATAAAACTTGAGCTATGCACAAATACCCAAGGTTTTTTTTCAGCAGCACCTCTGCCTATTCAATTTTTTATGATCTGCTCAGTTTGAATCAAAGTACTTCATGGGAATTAGCCATGGAAACTCACCAACTCACCCTTTAGTTTAAAGTCCAACTTTTGCTTAGATTGTCTTTTAAAAAATACCTTTTTGGCCTCCAGCTGGTGGGAATTTTTTTTTAAATGCACTGCTCACCTTCTCCATTCTTCAGTTTGTTTTTTTAATCCCCTGATAGTAGTAACTGTCCCATGTCATCCAATTCCTTCCTGTGAGCCTAGGCTGTCATAGACACACTCCTTGCCCCATGGTCATCACACAGCCTGGGCTCACAGCATACTGCTGCTCAGAGCAACACTCACAGTTTGCGATGTCACAACAATTGTGAGTGTCTCTCTATGCAGCATTGAAGACCACCCACAACACAACGATGTTGGGAAAGAAGCATGACAAGACTTGACATGAAATCACATGTAAGACACTTGGAATTAAGTTATATATGCTTTATCTTTTTTTAAATTGAGGAGGTGCAGGGACGGAAAAAGGGTTAGGTTGTTATTTTGGAAGCTACAGTTTAGCTTTAAATGTTAAACTGCTTTGTGACATTAAACAGCGGTGACTAAGTCCTTATAATTGCACTAACTAGCTAAGTGTTGAGAGGTTTTCTTGGTGCATAAACAGATCGGAGCACAGCAAATGTTTTCCATACACTGTTGAAATGTTCCTTTGTCATACTTATTTTTTCTGTATCTTGTCGTAACGGCTTCATTCACCTTTTTATATACTGTGCGTGGCTGTTTCATGGAAGCTAAGGAGTGATTGCTAAAGGCTATTATTTGTTTGAGTTGTACTTGTTGATGTTTTGTCAGAAAAAGGCTCTATTATGAGTGTTCTCTTTGGAGGAAATTAATGCATTAGCATGTTTGGGCACAAAAGATATTCTAAACTTGTTGGAAAACCGAGAAAGCTTTTAGCTACCGTACATTTTAGCTTTAAATGGCTTCTGTTGGTAATGACAGACTTTCTAGATGTCCATCAAGTCCATGCATTTAGTGATGTACTGGATAACACTGATACGTTGGCTCTCGGAGATGCAGACAGTGTACTTTATGGCCTGATTGTAGTAAAATAATATATGACAAGTCATTGGTTTGCATTGCTCTTCAGAGAGTAAAAATATGTTGTTTTCCATCAGATAACAGACAATGAAGCAGATTATCCAAAGGGAAAATGACCAATAATAACACAGTCTGCAAATTGTATAAAGCAAGGCTTAGAGTCGCCAAAACGTTTATAAATGCTCAAAGTGCATTATTTGGATGCAACAAAAGCAACATTAACTGGGTAAATAGATGCTGGAATAGGGATCTTACTAGATTTGATAAGTGTACCGTGCAACTCTAAAAACACCTTCTGATCAAACCGAGGACAGAAAATATTACAAAAATAGCTCTCAAGTGAGTACCATATTAAATTTGTACTTATTTCCACATTTCAAATATTGTAAAGGGTCCATTTATATATCATAAAGAGGAACTTTACCCTTACCTTCAAAATGTCCTTTAAAACAATCACACCTTTAGAAATGTTGAGTAACAACAAACTACAAACACATACTTCTAGATCATTGTCGGCTTTTTATGCTTTGCATACCTTATTTTTCTTTTGCCTTCCCATTCCTCTCATGGAGGCCATTTTCACTAAGGGCAGAATAATCCTTCTGCCTTTCCTTCCCGGAAGTCTGGCACATGTAACCATGCACGTCATCTCAGCGGAAGAATTTTTTTTCCCTGAGATCTCATGAGATTTTGCAGTTTACACATGCGATTTCCCAGCAATGCACTGTGATGTAACCTTCCCAGGATGCATTTCATAGGCATGGGCTGCATCACTAAGGCCTAGTGAAGTGGAAACACTGTAATTGTACGTAAAACATTTTTTATCTAACTATATCAATGTAAGATGAATTCATGCAGAGCTCAATGCTGATGGGATTTTTTTGTGAAAGGGGGTTAAGGTCTGATTTAAGTGATTATATTGGGTAAATAAGCAGATTGGTGAACCTTCAATATCAACTACAGTCAATTCAACCACAAAAAAAAAAGTATAGAAGTGTTCAGATTGTATCAGTCAATAATACATGTTACCCAATATGAACCTTGCTTTAACAAATACCACAGGAGATGGGCTATACACCCATGTTACATGTGCCTGGGAGAGCAGGGCTGTATTTTTAACAAGTAAGGCCAAATTAATATCACATTTTAGATTTCAAAACTCCTAAGCCTCGTGGCCTCATGTCAGAATACTTTACAGCAGAAGAAGGGGAAATGCAAGTGATTTTAGATACAAAGTCTTGAAATTCATATTTAATCAGCATACAATAAATCCCTGATTGGATGAGTGCTAACTATACATCTCATTGTCTGACTGCTGCTGTGCAGAGAATTACAGAAGGCTGATGTCAGGACAGATTCACATACAAATGCTAGTGACATGTGAAATCTGTTCAAAGCCCCTGCTCCCTCCATTGACCTATTTTTAACATTTTATTTCATCTTGGAAAGTCTGGACCATGTTAGGGAAGAACTTATCAAGACCCCCGTATCATGCACTTCTAAAGCAACAGATCACTTTTAATAATAATCTATTACTCACTTATAAGCAAGCAATAGACCACTATTGTAGTAATATGTTACTGCCTAAAAAAAAGGGGGCACCTTGGACTCAAGTGCGAAGTTAATATGGTACAGGATTAGATTGTGCTTTTTTCCATCAACACTGCCTACCCCATGTTGGAAAATGTAGCAACAGACATGAAAGACCTTGGCTGCAGAAATTGAAGTTCAGGATCTCACCATGGACAGACACATGACCAAATGTTTGGCCATCTGATCTGTGAATAAAGATCAGAAGTCAGGAACAGCCACCGACTGGATGCCCCTTCCTTTCTGTTAAAGGGACACTAAACTCTGGATTTAAATCTTAAAAAGGCATTTAAGTACCTTAACTATTAAAAAAAGGGGGTTAGAAAGACAGACAGAGGTTTCTTAATATTTTAATATTTCCTAAAATTTCCTAAAATTTAGTTTATTGGTCCGTGATGGACTCCAATCTCATGTTTAGTTTACTAATTTGTATTGAGATTGTAGTCTATCTCACGAGTGAGGTTGGAGCGGTGACTACTCTACAACACACACAGGGACAATGGGGAACAAAAGTAGCCCCCCTGCA